GATTAAGATTTATAAAGTTGTAAATATGGATATTTTTCTTACACAAATGCATCGATTCGCTTCAGAAGGCCTTTATTAAACCCCCGGAGCTGTGTGGACTTCTTTTATAATGGATGGGTGCAATTTTTGGGATTTTGGGCTATCATCCACTCCCATTATAAAGCAAGGATTAGCCTGGACATTATTTAATATAACTTTGATTGTATTCGTCTGAAAGAAGAATGTCATATACACCTAGGATGGCTTGAGAGTGAGTAAATCATGGGGTAATTTTCATTTTTGTGTGAACTATCCCTTTAAGTGATGATATATGCTTAGAAGCCGCAAGGCAATGTGATTAAAATTGTGTTTAATACAGTAGCTCAGTTCTGGGTGTAGAACTACACTACCCATAATTCAGAAAAGAGCTCCACCAATCAGAGAAGTTACAATTACCATGGAAATATAATCACTCCAAATAGTGGCCACTCATTCTCATAAAGCATTGCGAATTACTCAATTAATCAGTCTGACTATTAAGCTACTAATGAAATTTTTAACAATAATATTTTTTTTTGTATTTAAGTAGTTAATTCTGTATTGTTTCTGATTAGATTACATAATTTGCAGTGCTTCATGGAATGTGTAGTTAATTTCTTATTAAAGGGGTCATATGATGCGATTCAAATTTTTCCTTTCTCTTTGGAGTGTTACAAACTCTTGGTGCATAAAGAAGATCTGTAAAGTTGCAAAGTCTAAAGTCTAAAATGCAAAGAGATAACCACGCCTACCTAAAATGGCTCATTCTAACACGCCCCCACATGTCTACATCACAATGTGGGAAGATTTGCATAACGCCGCCCAAATGTTCACACAAAGAAAGAAGGCGTAACTTTGATTCTCGCTGTAGTATTGTTGTTGCCGTGTGTTTCATTGTGAAAGCGAAACTACTTTGTTTGGCCTTCCAAAAGAGGACGATATCCGCTTTGTCATGCCTAGAGCTGATCCGTGCTGGTCGCTGAGGAAATACATCAACTTCGCGCTGTGGATCGCCTTTCACCGTGGACGAAGCGGAGTCCATCCCGGGGTCGTCACATGTGGTTGCCACACTCCTTTGTCGAATCCGCTAGCCATGCCATTCTCAAGCCCGCCCGCCAACCTCCGCTCACTCTAGCCGCCGGCCTCTGCTCACTCTAGCCTGCCATGTGTGACGCTGTGTGTTTCGTTGTAAAAGCGAAACTACTTTGTTTGGCCTTCCAAAAGAGGACACAACTAGAAATCAGTGGTTAATTTGTATTTACATCACTGTTCCAGAAAAGTTCAACCCAAATATTCAGATGTGTGCAGCGCATTTTATGGAGGACTGTTTCCTGGGAGAGTAGACTACAATGCCAGCTGTTCTGACTCACAGACTGTAGGTTTTTCATATTTAAAGGATTTGCCACTGATGATTCAAACGCGAGTTTTGAGCAGTGTAGAGTAGCGCTTGTTGTTTGTCATTTCTCCGATCACAAATGCTGACATGGTTTTATGTTTACACGGCGTGATGCAATGCAGCTATAAATCATTATAATCCGTAATTATGTCCCCACTGGATGCAACAAATGCCTCGTTTATAATGGGTTTTAATGTTTTTGTCTCTTCGCTCCAGCCGGGACACGGCATCACAATATGGTAAGGGGCGTAACATTTCCGTCACACGCTTGAGGTATTCGGCCAATCACAACGCACTGGATAGCTGGCCAATCAGAGCACACCTCGCTTTTCAGATCGATGAGCTTTGTAAAAATCGACGCGTTTCAGAAAGGCGGGGCATAGAGGAGAAACAATAATGTACAATATGTGGAAAATAATGTGTTTTTTGAACCGTAAACCGCATAAACACATTTCATTACACCAAATACACAAAATAACGTTCTTTTTAGCAACATCATATGACCCCTTTAAAACAATTAAAGACTCATTCACGGCTTAGACCTCTGTATTGAAGATTTTTTAATCCCTGTGGAGAAAATGAATAGGAAAAATACTTCTGGAATCCAGGCCACTGAAAATGTGAGCGCTCTTAGGGTCACTGTGGGCTCTATTTGCTGTGTAAAATGCTACATTTTGCATTTGGTAACATTAGGAAAGAGCAAACAGTGTCTAATAAGGATCTGTAAACTTATCTTTCTAAATGTTAAATTTAGCAGTACAAAGAAAGACATTCATATAATACTTTTTAATGGTTTGAGCCCAGTATACGTTTAAATGTGCAATACTTTTAAATGTGCAATGCAGTGTTTTTAATAACATAATTTTACTCTCTTTCTACAGGGCTCCAGCTCTGTCTTGGTGGTCATGGTGATATTACTCAACATTGGTGTAGCCATTTTGTTCATTCATTTCTTTATTTAATCATATGGCCTATAGAATGTCAATAACAGCATTGATTAACATCAAGAGTAAGATATGCACACAATGCACACTTAGCACCACTTCTTAATATAAGGAACCCAGAAATCACAATAGTAAATGTCTGTGTAAGTTGGGCAAGTCCATGTAAATTGTAAACTTCTTTTATGGTTCAATTTATTATATAACTCCATTATAATCCATTAGTTAACTTTGCTTACTTTTTTCCTCCATTCATAATAAAGGTTCATTTACAATATTCTGTAGAACTGAAGTATTACACACATAGGTTTTTTTAATATACAGCTTGTCTGATATGTTTTACCACATATTTAACAGTTACAAAAGATTATTTCACACTTATTTGTTTTCTTTTCAAATGCACATCAGGCCTGAGACATTATTGAGTAACGGGACTCTGAAGATTAATGTGCAAAGATGGTCATGTGGATTTATGTACTATGATATAGTTGATGTAAGATGTGATTCACACTTCTATATAACCAAGACTACACGCCCTTCTCCCCTCCCACTGTATTCCAGGGTACAGCCCTGTATGATCGCTGCAGGCACTCATTATGTCATCCATAGAAATCAACCCTCTCATCTGCATACCCAGATTTGACGCACCTGTAAGTCTGTGGTAACAGCTATCTTAAAGGGCTTCATCATAGTGCTTTCCCATTAAACTCATGCAGTTTGAATCAGATAAGCCTGCATAATTCTTTCCACACTTATGAATTCCGCCTCACTGAATTTCAGCACAATCCAGTCGTGTAGTTTGTGTTGACTCACCAATAACACATTCAAAATTGAAACACTGCTATGTCAAACTCACTACTAAAGAACCTTGTGTTTTCTTGTACACCACATGATGTCACATCTGCTATAGAACATAAAAGTACAACAGATGTGCAGCAGTGGCTGAGTATTCCGGCTCATACTCGATAAAGTCTGAGACTGTTACCTTATGACAACTGCTTTCAATGTATGTTATTCTATATTACTGAACAGTTAACATATTTTAACAAGTTTGCAAGATATCATTGATATGCTGAGTGCCTTTTTTAATTGAGAAACCATCCCAGCGAGCAGGTTATGTACTGATGACCACTCATACAGTGGTCACATGAAATGGTTTGTTTCTTTCCCACCCCACCTTTGAACAAATCAAGTTGGCTTAAGAACTGAGCCTAAGCCTGTGGAGATTTTTACAGCATGTTTGTTAGCCTGTCCTCTTCTGCTGTTACTCTGTGTGATTTTCTGCCTGTCTCTCTGTCCAGCAACTTAGATAACAACTGGGACTGAAAGCAGTGTAAAAATACCAGCTTATGTTTCTCAGTGGGACCTGACTGACATTATCTAAATTAATGAATGATAAACTGCTATTGTACATTTTATACTACTCATCCAGTGATATCATGTTGTGAGATCATTGCATGCCTAAGCATGCCCTTTCTTACGCAATGATTTATGAGATTGTTTCCAAGTTATGTGGAAAATTAATAAAATGTTTGAGGTTATGTTGTGCCTTATATTTGTCAAAGAAAACATTCACACAAAAACCACAATCTTCCATTTTTATATCAGATGTGGATTTGGTTATCAACAAATAAAGGAGCCCATGCATGAATACATGCATAAATTGAAGAAATTGAAATGCTAAATATGGAGTTTGTAGTCCCACCTTATAACAGTGCCAAAAGTATTGTTGAAAGCAGTATCACAATGCCCAGTATAGTGGCTATAGGACTGAAAGTCCCACCTTACAGTTAAAAGAGCCAGTCTTATGTTTGTTTATTCTAGTGTACATTAGCTGAACTAGCCTAATAGATACATTTGAAGTTTTGTGTTATTTAAGCCACTTTTGAAGTGGTATATTTATGATTTCACTGTTGCCAGATTTAATTTCTGACATAATCTTGACCAAAACTTGTTTCAGGTTTCAAGCTCTCTTCGTTCAAGTAGATGTAGCTGTGTATGCATGACTGGAAATATGTATTTGAAAGGACTCACCAGGGCCTGAGTCATTTTAAATATGATTCTTTTTATAATATATACCCCTAAAAACCCTTAAACCTTGAATATTTGGTTACATCCTTGATTAGACTACTGTGTTGTCTTTCTGTAAATATTTCACCTAGCACCACAAAGTGTAACGGATACACTGATCAACATCCCAAATACACCCAGAATAAAGGTATAGCAATAATACATTTCAATTTAACATATAGATATTCATACATAAATAAAAGAGTGTTGATGGGTTTTCTAATAGCCTATTATTTGAAATAACTCCTAATATAAGAATCCACGAATTCCTTAAGGATTTGTACACAGAGTAGGTTATATGTGCAAGTATAAATGAGTCGAACAAAACTGTAGACCAAAAAAATATGTATTTCATCATACAGACTATCTTGCACATGCTACTCTAAAGCCATTCCATATTTAAACGTTGAAAAGCCATTGTGAGGACAGACTTATTTTATTATTTGATTATTTTTAAACATACACGACATGTAATCGTCAGACAGAACGAGCGATTTCAACGATTCGCTTATATATAAGAAAATCAGTGATTTTCCATCGCTTTGATTCCGCCCATATCATCGGGGCGTCCGCCTTGTTCGAGGGGCTGGTCGTCGAGGTCCGATGCGTCACGTTTATTTGGGCCTTCTGCATCCCACTGGCAGGGAAGCGGCCGATTTTTTTTTCTCCCTGCCTTAAAACGTCCTGTATATATTTATTCCAAGCGTGGATCTTCGGGAAAACAAGGTATCGAAGGGAAAACGCGACGGAAAGTAGGTTAAAGCCAGTGAGGTGGCCGCGGCGGCTGCCTCTTTTAACGCAATAGCTACGGTTTAGCGTACTGGTAAACACACTTGCAGGGGTCTCTGCGTGTCATTTGCATGCAGTTCTGCAGACGCGTTATGAATTGTTGCAGATAATGTCTTTATTGCATGTGTGATTTGTGAGTCACATAAAATGTAGCGATTGCAAGACGGGCAGATTGATATACAGAAGAGCATTAGCAGCGCTGGCTAGCATTGGCTGCAAGTGTGTATCGGTCAAAAAGCTAGCCGAAGTTTTCTTGCACACAAACTGCGAATAAAAAGCAAGGACACCGTTTTAATCCATGCCTTACGCTATGGCTTTGCATACGGATCTCTAATATCCGAATCATGGCTTATTTTCTGCACCAGTCAGAATTAAAAGCATCAAAGAAAGGAAATTCCAGATTTCTCCCTTTTTTCAGGCTAGCAGGCAGTCGGCTATTTTAAGTTTCAATTCTTATTGTGTGTTTTGCATGGAATGTTTATTTGCCTTGTATTAATATTGTATTTCAAACCATATGTAAGTTTTTCTTCTCAAGTGTGGGTGAGCATATTGTAATGGGAATTTTGATTTGGATTCAATTACAAATTGGGCCATATCAGAGATATGCGTATGATTGGTGTAGTAGTTTTTATGTCATTAAGGGTGTTTATTTAAAAATCGTTATTGAAAGAATTCCAGGTTCCCACAAGATATCAGAGAAATTATTAAGACTGTGAATAGTCATGGAAAATGTATAATAAGCAATGTTTTTTTTTTCTAGTTGATCTTGACTCGGCTACAATTAGCCTTTTCTCAGTGAGATCTGAGATTCTAAACCTTTTTGACCTCTCTTCTGCATGATTAAATTAGTTTTGTGACATTTCGGTTTCAATAACTATACTTAAATTGAAAAAAAGTTGTTGAGGGTAAACTAAATAAATATGATGTTCAGTAACATTAATTTTAATTATATTTTATTATTATTTTTGTAAAAGTTTATTTTATAAAAGTTTATTTTGAATTGAGCTCGTGTCGCTTTTGGAAGTTGAGGCTGAGCTGAGGTTCCTGGTTAAGAACCACTGATGCAATGTCATATTACTTGTATTATAATTTATAAAAATGCATTAATTTGATTTATTTATGCATTTTCCCCCCAAAAAGATGTGGGAGCCCTGAGTAATTATTGCATACATGAGCTGCTTTGTGTAATAACCCACTATTTTTCTTATTGCAGGTATGCATTTGGAGACAATTCTTTGCCGTTTACTGGAGAAAATTTCAGACACCCCCTTGGATTGGCATTTAATGTAAAAAATCACCTTTTTGAACACTCAAACCATGAGCAAGTTTACCCAAAAGTATTGAACCTCTCTACAAGACTGTTCGTTTCATTTGTTACCCTTCCAATGAACTGACCATCACTTGTTCGAACATTTTTGTGCAATCAGATCCCAAAGTGCTGATCCCTGAAAGCTGAATTTATACATGTACAGTGGAAGAATGACAGAAGCATGGCAACAGCAACATGCAGTGGCCCCTCCTCCCGTTGGGCACCCCCTTCTACAAGGGGCAGAGAATGCCTTGGGCAGTGCTGCATATGGCATTGTCCTACAGGCAGACCCTGCTTTACAGCAGTCTCAGCACAGCCAGCATGCACAGCAGCACCCGTTGCCAGCTCAGCAGCCTCAGCTGCAGGTGGGAGGTGAAGGTGGCCACAAATGCGGTGCGTGTGGCCATGATATTTCGCACTTGGCCAATCCCCATGAGCACCAGTGCATGGTTAACCAGGACCGTTCTTTCCAGTGCACCCAGTGCATGAAGATCTTCAACCAAGCAACGGATCTTCTAGAGCATCAGTGTGTCCAGGTTGAGCAGAAGCCATTTGTGTGTGGTGTGTGCAAAATGGGATTCTCCCTTCTCACGTCTTTGGCACAACATCATAATGAGCACACCAATGGAAACAGTCCAATGAAGTGCTCTATTTGTGAAAAAACATACCGCCCAGACTCCTCCTCTTCTAACCCTCAGCAACCCTCTACTGCTGAGACATCCAGTGATGGGGCAGCCATGGGTTCCTCTTCCTCTACAGCTTTCCAGGGCTCTGACCGTCCATATAAGTGCTCCGTGTGCAATAAGGCATTTCGTCACCTTTCGGAACTCTCACGGCATGAAAGAGTGCACACGGGCGAGAAGCCCTACAAGTGCGACACTTGTGAGAAGACCTTTAGTCAAGCTTCTCATCTGGCGCACCACCAGCGCACTCACAGTGCAGATCGCCCGTATAAATGTGCCGTTTGCGAGAAGACCTTCAAGCACAGGCAGCACCTGGTACGGCACATGTACGCTCACTCTGGCGAGCACCTTTTCAAGTGCAACCTGTGCGAGCTTCATTTCAAGGAGTCTTCCGAACTGCTACACCACCAGTGCCAGCCAGCTGGAGAGCGTCCCTTCCGCTGCGCAGCATGTGGGAAAAGCTTCAAACGGCCCTCGGACCTGAGGCAGCATGAGCGTACCCACTCTGAAGAGCGGCCTTTCCAGTGTGAGGAGTGTCAGATGAGCTTCAAGCAGCAGTACGCACTTGTTCGCCACCGCCGTACGCACAAAAACCCAGCAGATCGCCCATTCAAGTGCAATCAGTGTGACAAAGGTTTCCTGCAACCTTCCCACCTGCTGTACCACCAGCATGTCCATGGCATCGAGAGTCTGTTCAAATGTGCCGCTTGCCAAAAGGGCTTCAGACAATCCGGGGAACTACTAAGGCACAAGTGTACAGAATCGAACTCTGGATCGAATGCTGTGGAGAAGCCGTACAAGTGTGACGTGTGTGGGAAGGGCTACAAAAAGTCGTCAACATTACAGAGGCACCAGAACTCCCATTGCACCGAAAAGCCACTGAAGTGCTCGCTCTGCGGCCGCCGCTTCCAGTCCTCATCTGATTTTGTGCAGCACCGTTGTGACCCTGCTCGGGAGAAGCCGATGAAATGTGCGGACTGCGAGAGGCGCTTTAAGTATTCATCCGAGTTGCAGAGACATCGAAGAGTCCATACAGGAGAGAAACCCTTCAAGTGTCCCACCTGTGACAAGGGATTCAAACAGCGCGAACACTTGGCTAAACATGGCATTGTCCACTCCCGTGAAGCCCAGTTCAAATGTGTCTGGTGTGGAGAGTGTTTTGGAGAGCTTGGGGCCCTTCAAGAACATACAGTTCAACACACTGCAGAAGGAGGGGGCTATCCTGCGTCTTCATGCATAGAGTAGTTACTGTCTGCTGTTGCTCCTTATCGAGTGTAAATACACTCTGCTCGCATTAGCAACACTGCAATTTACTTGCATATATTTAGAGAAATTGCAAATTGTATATATCCCACAAGCATTGCAGTAGTTGTTGGACTGGTAAGGAACTACATAAAGTGTCAGCTTGTAAAAGTCTTGATGTACCTCTGGGTAGATATTGGCAACATTGCGTTTACTCCACAGATAGAAACTTGCCTCGGTTCTGCACCAGCCACACAGACGAACATAGCCACACGCATAAATGGTTGCTACTCAAAAATAAGCTTGTAAAAAATGAACAACTTTGTCTCATGTGCAACTCCTTCTGCTTAAGACTGGTGTCTCCAACAAAGATAAAGCTGATCCGTTTTACAAGCAACTAAAGATTTAGTTTTAAGTTTAGTTTAGTGCTTTTATATCTAAAATTCAGTATATCTAAAACAAGAAAAAAATGCAGTAGTACAGCTATCAGTGACAGCTTTTCCAGAATTACATAAATTGGTATGCAAGATGTTAACAACCTGGATTTGCTTTTTGGTCTTTATACGATTGACCACAACTAGATGTTTCATTGCATTGGTTTTGTTTATTATTATTATTTTTTCTAATTATTTGGCCTTGTAACTTTTAAATTAACTGCCTTTCTTCCAGTATCTCCATCTCATGCTTCCATGTTAGCTATGGAACTTGAACACTGTATGGTCATCTGGACAATATACACTAGTGATTGTATGTATTCGTAATGTATAACTCCCATCACCTAACCCATACTGTAACAGGGTATATGTATGCATGAATAGCCTAAATAATTTATACAGTTTGTTGTAATCTGTCATTAACTTGTAGGCAAAGGACTACACAAAAAAATATTAGCCATTCTTTTTCTCTAGAGCATTTTGACTCATCTCTAACAATGACGCAATAGTTTGCAAGCAGTTCCAAGAGTAAATTTACAGTAGTACAAAGATTTACAGTTACTTTTTAACTGCCAGGCAACAGAACAACAATGCAGTATTTTTGTTTGCAAATTGCAAACAGATGCTGTTGCGTTAGCTAAACAATGCTGTAGAATTTGTAAAGTTATCTGTACATGGATGTTTTGTATCGCTTCGACATGAGTGCAGTGCTAGGATTTAGTATCTGTTTGTGTATCATAATACTGTAGACTGCATGTGATTGTTTCCTCTTGTGAGGATATGTTGGTTCTGTTTTGGTGGATTATTATTTTGCCACAGACAACTTGTTCTGTTTCTCTGCCACAAATTCTTTCTTTGCTTTCTGCTTTAGAAACAAAATGCCATGAATCAGTTTGGTATGTCATTTTGGGCTTTCCTAATTGGGTCCGTTAACAGTAGAACCTTTATTTTGGGTTAAAATGCTGAGCCACAGATAGATGTGTAAATTGCACAGCAGCTTTTGTAATTATAAAAAATAAACATTTTAAACAAATTCAAGAGTACAATTACATTACATGTTTAAAAAAATCTAAAAACAGTATTAAGTAGTAGTGGAGTGTTTTTTAACTTCAAAAACATCTTAAAATGCAGTGTCTAAATGTTTAAGCATATTGATTAAATTCATATTAATTATACATTGTATGATCCTAACAGCTTGAATGTAAACATTGCAAACATGTATTTTCCCCTTTCGATGCCACTGTAAGCCTTATTAACATTAATGGCTTATGTGTCAGTATTGTTTGTTCTGTTACGGATGTGTGAACTCTCCTTTTTTCATGTGCATTAAATGCAGAGACTGAATGGTGTCGTTGCTTGTGAAGCAATATTTTTGATGTCGAGACTATTAGCGGGTTAAATCAAATAAATTATGTTTTTTTGTATTTGAGCAAAAATAGAGATTATCCCACCATTTAACATTTTCTCCTGTATGTCACTCGAGCCATACCTTTAAATGTCTGTGTTTCAGTGGAGAGACTCAAATTGTAAATATGCCATGTGTGTGTGTGTGTGTTTTTCCTTATCACAAAGGTGTGGCATGTCATAACTACAAGGCATTTACAAATTAAATGTTTATAAACAGCTGTTGTATTATTTGTGAACCAAATGGTAAAATGACTACAGACCTCGTTGAACTTTAAGACTGATTTGTCTGTAAAAGTGTACTCTTCAGTCTAGTGAAATGTTAAAGAGAACAATATAATGGGAACATTAGATATCCTACATTTATGGTTTTATTTATTTAATTTTTAACAATTGAAACTTTAATAACACCTGTTATTGTTACACCACTTTATATTTGTAAAAGGTATCAGACTTTAGTATAACTTGCAGTACAAGTTGATGGTATTAATGATGTAATGCGGTATTTGGTACATATACATCTTACAATCACTACAAACAAATTATAGAAATAAAAAAAAATAGTTAAAGCAGAAAAACTGCTGTTTGGGATTCCACAATTTTCAAATTCAGTTGCGGTTTTAATTTCATACGACTCAATTTGAGGGCTTTTATTTTGAAAAAGGTACCGGAAGTACATAAAGTATTTCCGGTGACCATCTGCGATCGCAAAAATCGACAGGAGTGCTATCTTAGGGGTGATATCCGCCTACCAGTCAGCGGTTCCCTCGAGCGCTTTCTGAATCTAATTAGTGGATCACTGGGAGGAATTGGAACACTCCATTTGAAGAGTAATCGAAAATCTGGAGTCTTGTGTGTCGAAGTTGTTGTGGCCAATTAAACCGATCCATAGATATCGCTAGCTTCGTTAGCGCGTTTATCCGGAGGGAACGCTTTTAAAGTGAGACTGCTGAACCGCTGTAATGAATATGATAAGAAACTGATGATCAAACGCTGTTCACGTCCCGAGACAATCGATCAAGTCGAAATTTCGGCTGCTTCACGTTATTTATGCTCTTTTTTTTTCTTTTCTTTTTTACCGCGTAGCGACATTCAGCGGGCTTGACAGGTCTGTGCTTCAATTAAATATTTTTCAATCCCCTCCCCTTGCATCACTGGATATTTAGATGCAAAATACGAGGGCTGCGACAGACAATAATAAATTATATTACGATCCTTTTAAAGCTGTTACTTTGTTTATTTTAACATTTGTTTACGAACGGACACATCTATCTTATTAGGCTGCCTCGACGGGCATCATGAAATCCTGACTTTTAATTATTTAAAAAGCTGGCGGTCTGTCAGAAAATAAGCTGGTTTCTGCAGCGTTTCGGACGCCCATTGCTTTTTGCTTTGAGTGGCGCGAGCGTCAGCGCGAGGTCATGCGTGCCGCTGCTGAGCAGCTGTCAATCACAATTGCTCGCGAGAGATCGCATTGAAGCGGCTTCTTACATTGTTTTACGGTACCACAACACTTTCTGCAGCATTTCACAACAGAGACGGTCGACTTGTCGCTATCGCTTGGAGCGTATCGTAGTAGTAGGTGGAGGGAAGGCGGATTGACTGGCCAAACCCGCCATGCCCGGTCCGGTGAGCAGCAAAGCACGGGTGTATGCTGATGCCAACACTGTGAAGAGCAAGGAGTACTGGGACTATGAAGCACATGTGCCTAGCTGGAGGTACAGAGATGATTAGCCCATATAGAGATTATTTTAGCATGATTTCCTTGCAAAAAAAAATAGTACCGTGGTTGATTGAATGGTACTTGATTGACTAACATGTAGTAGAGTACATGGTGACCCAGGATACTTAAAAAGCACAGTAGTAGTATGTTGACAAAAAAAGTGTCATCATGATCTTACCACATTACTTATTAAATGGATAAACTGTTTTGCACAATTGTATTCATTTCGTGCTTATTGTGTCTTACTCAGCAACCAGGATGACTACCAGCTTGTACGAAAGCTCGGAAGAGGCAAATACAGTGAAGTGTTTGAGGCCATCAACATTAACAGCAACGACAGGGTAGTTGTTAAAATCCTGAAGGTAAGAATGCCTGGTCTCTCATTGCCTGAGCATCAGGTGGAAGCAATTTCTTAAAGGGGTCATATGATGCTTTTTTAAAGATCATTATTTGGTGTAACAGAATATGTTGACATGCTTTAATGTTCAAAAAACACATTATTTTCAAATACTGTACATTATTGTAGGTCCTCTATGCCCCGCCTCTCTCAAACACGTCGTTTTCAACAAAGTCCCTCCTTCCGACAAACACAGTCTGCTCTGATTGGCCAGCTGACACAGTGCATTGTGATTGGCCGAACACCGCAAGCACTCATCGGAAATGTAACGCCCCTTATCATAATCGCGAGCTTCAGCTTTCAAAATAAATGTAAAGACAGAGCTTGAAAGGGGAACAGAGTGGCGTGACAGACACAGTGATGAAGCTGGTATGTGTTTGCAGTATACAAGCCACGGTTCAGATAGCTGCCTCCACTGTGATGTGACCCTGTCTCTCTCTCACTCTGTCACACACACACACGATGTGCAAAACTCCGCATTTGAACAGTCAATAGCAAATACTTAAGCTAATAACAAAACAAAACAAAGATTGTCAGAGCAAAGTCAGAATTACTTCCTCTCCTAGGTTCACGAAACGTTCTTCCATAAAATGCATTGCTGTTCTGTTGTAAGTAATCTTAAAGATTCCTAAATGCATCTACTTTCAGAAGGCCAAATAAAGTGCTTTTGCTTTCGCCTAGAAACACACAGTGCCTCCCTGACATGGCTGCATCAACACTAACTGCGGTTACTGAAACGACGACGCTAAAGATTCCTAAATGCATCTACTTTCAGAAGGCCAAATAAAGTGCTTTTGCTTTCGCCTAGAAACACACAGTGCCTCCCTGACATGCTGCTTCAACACTAACTGCGGTTACTGAAACGACACCTTCTTTCTTTGCGTGCACATTTGGGTTTAGGCACATTATGCAAATATTTCCACATAGTGAGGTAGATATGTGGGGGTGTGTTAGAACGAGCCATTTTAGGGGGGCGTGGCAGAGTCTTAACTTTTTGATAAAGAATATCTCTTTGGTTTTGAGAACATGCTAAAACATGCTTGAAGTTCAGGAGCTGATGATGTTTGTTATTAAGCGGCAAGGATGCACAGTTGAGTTTACCCTATTTAATGTGCTTTATGACTGTGCGCTAATCGATGTGAATAAAAGCTTAAATCTATTTGTCTTCTGCTGTGTTTATGTCTCTTTGGAAGACTTTGGATGACACCACTCAATTCACATGGATAACCTTTACAGTATCTGTTGATTACATAGACTTCCAGTGGTTGGACAGAAATGATGAGACAATATTAACGTTTTTTTTTTTTCTTTTCTTTTTTGTAATTTTCATTTTTAGCTGAACTAACCTTTTATTATTTTTTTCTTTACTCTTGCAGCCTGTTAAGAAGAAGAAGATTAAGCGTGAGATCAAAATTTTGGAGAACTTAAGAGGAGGAACCAACATCATTCGTCTTGTAGACACAGTGAAGGACCCTGTGGTAAATTTAGCTGTAATAGTATATGCAGCGGTTTTCTACAGAATGCTGTTTTTGCAAAATTAGGCTTAACTTATTTAAAAATATGACATAATATATTATTAGCAGGCCCATACAGAAAACGTGTCTGCAAATTTCTATAGAATTGTATTTTGGATTTCGCAAAATATTTACCATTAAGACTGTAGTACCTTTCAGCTCCATTTAACACATTGTATCATATTAAATCAATTACAGAATTGGCAGATTTGTTTTCCAGTCTCCAAAGCATAACTGCTTCTAAATTTGGATTAATTTGTGTCAAAATACTTAATCAAGGAAACCAACAGGCAGTGTCTATGTATTAGGGTTCATATGGTTCGTCACAATATGATATGATATTGATTCTCTTACCTAGCAATACGATATTTGCAGATACCTCAAAAAATTCTACGATACGATTTCGATACAATTAGATTCTGGGGTATATCGATCCGTGAGATCAAAATTTTGGAGAACTTAAGAGGAGGAACCAACATCATTCGTCTTGTAGACACAGTGAAGGACCCTGTGGTAAATTTAGCTGTAATAGTATATGCAGCGGTTTTCTACAGAATGCTGTTTTTGCAAAATTAGGCTTAACTTATTTAAAAATATGACATAATATATTATTAGCAGGCCCATACAGAAAACGTGTCTGCAAATTTCTATAGAATTGTATTTTGGATTTCGCAAAATATTTACCATTAAGACTGTAGTACCTTTCAGCTCCATTTAACACATTGTATCATATTAAATCAATTACAGAATTGGCAGATTTGTTTTCCAGTCTCCAAAGCATAACTGCTTCTAAATTTGGATTAATTTGTGTCAAAATACTTAATCAAGGAAACCAACAGGCAGTGTATTAGGGTTCATATGGTTCATCACAATATGATATGATATTGATTCTCTTACCTAGCAATACGATATTTGCAGATACCTCAAAAAATTCTACGATACGATTTCGATACAATTAGATTCTGGGGTATATCGATCGATTTATCGATATTATGTACCTATTTTAAACAACCATCTACATTTTTATTAACTTACGAATGCAATCAAAACATATAACATGAACATTGATCTGAAATTTGATCTCAATTGGGACATTCACAACAAAAAATAGGCCTACACTTTTTGTTTTTTAAATAATAAAGAAAAATAAATAATTGGGGGAAAAATCAAGTCCCATATGAGATCAGTAATCTTATGACATGAGAACAGTCAAGAAAGTGTTTCAGGCTTCTGTGCTTATGTGCAATGTGTGAAATAGTGTAAATCCTCCTTAGGAAACAACAAAAACGAGGTTTGAACGAGAATGTACACGTTGATGGTAATGCATAGGTGGACATTGTGAGAAAATGTGGACAGTGCCAAAATAAGTTTCCTATTAATACTAGAAGTATCGATATTTTACGCATGGCATTGATGCATCGTATCGTTAGACATTTGATTGATGTATCGATCCATAGCGATGGATTGTTACACCCCTACTATGCATTAGGGCTGGGCAAAAAATCGAATGCGATTTTCATGCAAATATCGTCAGTAAAGCCGCTTCTGGTGATTGGTAGTAAATCTCCAGCACGTGCTTTCAGATGGAGCGCTGGTTGTTTTGTTCCAACCACCCATGTAAAAATTCAGACTAATAATATCACCATACTCGGCCACACGTCACGTCACCTCACTCACTCACTCACTTTAAATAATTTGCTAAATAAATAATTCCTAAATAATTTGCAGATGTATGACTACAGTTTGGACATGTGGAGCTTAGGCTGTATGTTAGCCAGTATGATCTTCCAGAAAGAGCCATTTTTCCATGGTCAAGACAACTATGACCAGGTATGACTTGTCATTCTTCTATGAACCTTTTTACAATATCTAGGTCTTAAAATACTCAATATGCTAACAGCAGAATCTTTCCCACAGTTGGTCAGAATTGCCAAGGTTCTTGGAACAGAAGAGCTATTCAGCTACCTGAACAAGTATCACATTGAGCTGGACACACGTTTCAAAGATCTGCTTGGCCAGTGAGTCTGTGAATTTATTGACAGTGTTTTTCACGATGGTCAGTTTTTAAGGATCTTTGTACAAAGTTGTTAGTGATGCACATAAATTTTGATTTCTGTGTTAACCAATAATTTTGTTATGATGAGTAATCGGTGATTTTTTTTTTTTGAGACAATCTTGTTCTCATCTTTAGATCTACAGAAAAAAATAAAAACATAAAAACGTTTCATGCTTTTGAACCTGAAAAAATAAAGAAACTCCCTGATACTATCTACTAAGGCCATACTGGCAGACGATATACACATCGCTATATAGTGGATTTCCAGTAGTAGTGAGCAAATGAATTCTGCATATTGATTTTAAATTGCTAGCGTTTTAATCTTGAAGTTGCAAACATCTTCAGGCAGACACGTAAGCGCTGGGAGAACTTTGTTCAGCCAGAGAATCAGCACTTGGTGAGCCCAGAAGCTCTGGATTTGCTGGATAAACTCCTGCGTTACGATCATCAACAGAGACTGACTGCCCAAGAGGCCATGGAACACCCCTACTTTTGTGAGCCAGCTTTCCTTATCTGCTTTGATTTATTGATTTTCTCAAGTTATTGTTTATTATAATATACACTACCAGTCCAATATGAATGTTTTTGAAAGAAGTCTCACCAAGACTGCATTTATTTGATCAAAAATTACAGTAAAATAAATAATATGGTGAAATATAATTACAATTTAAAAGAACCATTTTCTTCTTTAATATAATTACATGAATGTATTTTGAGATGTAGTTTATAAAGCTGAATTTTCAGCAGCCATTACTCTAGTCTTCAGCGTCACATTATCCTTCTGAAATCACTGTTATATGGTGCTTTGGTGCTGAAGGAACTTTTTTTTTTTAATTACCAATACCGAAAACGGTTTTTGCTGTTTAATGTTGTTGTGGACTGTGATAACTGTGATAGACTACCATTCAAAGGTTTGGGGTAAGTAACATTAAAATGATCAAAAGTGGCAGTAAAAACATTTTATGAATCATGTCCCGAAAGATTTCAGTTTCTATTTCAAATAAATGCTGTTCTATTTCAAATAATCTATTTATCAAGAATCACGGTTTCCACAAAATATTGAGAAAAAAAGGTATCAACACTTGTAATAATAACCAGAATTAATAATTGAGCAGCAAATCAGCATATTAGGATGATTTCTGAAGGATCATGTGACACTGAAGACTGGGGTAATGGCTGCTGAAAATTCAGCTTTGCATCAGAGGAATAAATAACATTTGAAAATATAATCAAATAGAAAACAGTTAATTTAAATTGGAAAAAATGCGTTTGCTACTTGTGTATAAAGCTAATACCACAGACAATCAGTGTTTAACATGAATACAAGAGGTAAACAATAAATAAATAGAGAAACTGAAAAACTAGTAGAAGAACCTAACAGGTAATTAATGAAGTGCTCATAGGTTCACGTGTGAATTCTCATATAAATACTGTCAGGGTAAATCATTTGATTTAGTGCTCACATAGTTCTGCCTTGTGTTCAGATATCAATAACTAGCATGTTGGGATGAGCCCATTACATTATGAGTGCAGTTAAAATACTACATGACCATCTTTCATCTTGAGTATGGTGGTGTTCGGAATGGAATACTAGTTACTGCATACAATGTAGTCAATTAAAAACAGTATGAAAGGCAATTTTCTGTTGTCTTACGATGCATGTTTAAATCAACACGTGACATCCAATTGTCAACTCTGAAATAATTACAACTATTTTGCATTTATATCTTATTTTGTTCAGTCTAATCAGCTAATGAATCAAGCGAGAAATCTTTTGGTTCGGTCATAATACTGGAAACAGAAGGTTAAGTCAAGCCCACTGCATTACAGTACTGCAGACTTTGGCATAATGTACTACATTTATGTATTCATAAAATTTGCATAGTGCACACAGTATACTAAACAAATTGCATGAGTATGGTAGTATGCCATTCCGAACATATCTTAAGTTTGCAAGAATCCAAACATGTCTTTCATGCCTGAGAGTCATATGGATTTAAAACAGACAATCATTGTATTTGTAAACAGACTTGCTGAGTAATATGGCAATTAATGTAGCAAAATACTACAACAATCATTGGACACAACCAAGCTGTATGTAATTCTTTCTATGGATGATTATCAAGGATCACATTTTCATGAAAAACCATCCAAAATTATATCAATCAGATGCAATTTTTTTGGCCTGGGGAAAAAAAAAGGTTTTGATATTTTTTTGCAACTCTTCATGGAATGAGCTCTTGAAGCTCTGCATCGCTCAGTTCATTCACTGCGACAATGTGGTCGAGGTGTTGAAGATAACGATCTTCATCCTGCATGAAGTGAGGAATCCTAGTTCCATTTAGAACAGCCAAATGCCGAAGTCTGTCCACATCTTCATAGGAAACCTAAAAATAAGAATTACATAAATTGGTATGTATATACATTATCAAAGGAATAGTTTCACAAATTCTTCCTGAGTCCATCACAATCTCAATATGCACAGTGAGGAAGCTGGCCAGCTGGACTGCTTTTAAACAAGTACGAAAAGCAGAGGTTGCAGTGGCAACTCTCCTACAAAGGTGTCGCATCACATTAGCACAGGTATTAAAGACCACGAAGGGCGCCCTCAGAGGAACACTGATTATCTCTAGATAGAATACTAGCATTTCATAAGCCCTGATGTAGAAAAATTGTGTCAAAGGGGGCAGTTTTTTCATTAGTGTAATTTTCTTTTTCATAAGGTTATCAATGAATGTTTTGTTGAAATGAGTCAGCCTTGGTGTCTTTTTGCATTGCTTGCTATACTAAGTTGAAGGGGAAAAAATGCGTTTGCTACTTGTGTATAAAGCTAATACCACAGACAATCAGTGTTTAACATGAATACAAGAGGTAAACAATAAATAAATAGAGAAACTGAAAAACTAGTAGAAGAACCTAACAGGTAATTAATGAAGTGCTCATAGGTTCACGTGTGAATTCTCATATAAATACTGTCAGGGTAAATCATTTGATTTAGTGCTCACATAGTTCTGCCTTGTGTTCAGATATCAATAACTAGCATGTTGGGATGAGCCCATTACATTATGAGTGCAGTTAAAATACTACATGACCATCTTTCATCTTGAGTATGGTGGTGTTCGGAATGGAATACTAGTTACTGCATACAATGTAGTCAATTAAAAACAGTATGAAAGGCAATTTTCTGTTGTCTTACGATGCATGTTTAAATCAACACGTGACATCCAATTGTCAACTCTGAAATAATTACAACTATTTTGCATTTATATCTTATTTTGTTCAGTCTAATCAGCTAATGAATCAAGCGAGAAATCTTTTGGTTCGGTCATAATACTGGAAACAGAAGGTTAAGTCAAGCCCACTGCATTACAGTACTGCAGACTTTGGCATAATGTACTACATTTATGTATTCATAAAATTTGCATAGTGCACACAGTATACTAAACAAATTGCATGAGTATGGTAGTATGCCATTCCGAACATATCTTAAGTTTGCAAGAATCCAAACATGTCTTTCATGCCTGAGAGTCATATGGATTTAAAACAGACAATCATTGTATTTGTAAACAGACTTGCTGAGTAATATGGCAATTAATGTAGCAAAATACTACAACAATCATTGGACACAACCAAGCTGTATGTAATTCTTTCTATGGATGATTATCAAGGATCACATTTTCATGAAAAACCATCCAAAATTATATCAATCAGATGCAATTTTTTTGGCCTGGGGAAAAAAAAAGGTTTTGATATTTTTTTGCAACTCTTCATGGAATGAGCTCTTGAAGCTCTGCATCGCTCAGTTCATTCACTGCGACAATGTGGTCGAGGTGTTGAAGATAACGATCTTCATCCTGCATGAAGTGAGGAATCCTAGTTCCATTTAGAACAGCCAAATGCCGAAGTCTGTCCACATCTTCATAGGAAACCTAAAAATAAGAATTACATAAATTGGTATGTATATACATTATCAAAGGAATAGTTTCACTAAAAAAAAAAAAAAAGAATATTTCTTTAAAAACAGTAAGTGTGAATAGGACCTGCCTTGCCAAGAGCGGTTAATATCTTAAAATCAATGTTTCTCCTGTGGCGTAAAATCCTTAAAATTCCATCAAGGTAGACCTGATCTTTACTGAAGCAACCTGTACACACAAACACACATATGCAAAAACATATATACTACAAATACAGAGAGGCAATATAAAACTAGATAAAGTTTGACAAGACAAACAATGATGTTGGCTTGAGAAATCCTGGCCAGAATGTTTGAAGTATATGTAATATCTTGAAGGTTTTAAGCCTGAAAAAGTGTTATGTATGTATGTATGGATGGATGGATGGATAGATAGATGAGAATGTTGGCTTTCTCAAGTCAACATCATAAAATGACATCACATATTAAAAATATTTCTCAGTTCTATTCTTAGTGATTAGTTCACCTGGTTTCGAGGTATCTGTCTGTCCTCGTTTGGCGCGGAGGCAGTATTCCCAACGTACAGCAGGATCTTGGACAAAGCGAGCAATATGGCTGAACAGTTGGCTGAAGCTCATGTTTGTGGCATGGTATACAGTATAGTATAGCAGAGCGGCTCGCCACAGGAAGGGCTGTTTCCGCAGCAACACACTGTGAAGACTAGCAAGCCCCTCTTCAGTAGGATTAGCCGGTTTCAGTCCAAACTGCTTTCTCCCAACAGAAGTGGCCCATGGCTGCATGCTGTTATTCACACCCCGTAAGTAATGTGTGCCTGGGAGTGAAAGTCATAAAATTGCTGGAAGGGCAGGTTTTGCAGACAAAAGACTATACAATTAACATCAAGAATGGTCAGTTATCAACTAGATTCAACCAGAAGGATGTCAATACAATATTTCTTGTATAGCAAGATCAATGTCGTAACCAGCTGTGACCCAGCTAAATCAAGTGCTTTGCCCGCCTAGACCAAATGCAAAAATGCTACATAATGTCACACAATAACAGCCAATCAGAACATAAATGATATTTAATATACAATCTAGAGTTCTGCAGGTATGACATATTTTTGCAGGCCAGAACACGAAAATCCATCAGCCTACAATCAATGTTTTTTAAATGCATTTTTGGCTAAATGAAAGGTCTGTGGTTAATACACCCTTGAGATTTTTTTAAGCCTTTACTTGTCTTGAATATGGTAGTTGCTTACTAGTATCTAAAATGGGACTACAGAGGTTGTCGGGGACATTAAACGCCATCTTGCTAAACAGGAAAGCTCAACTGCTCACTAGTTTCACAGCCTCCTATTTATAATCACATTCTTGCTAACTCATACTTTGAGGGAAGATGTGTTTTAAATAAAGACTTAACAGTTTTCAGAAGCTTAATGGTGGTGACGTTGAAGTCTAGCAACAGTGACATAGCTTGTTTATTGCCTACATTTAGCATTTAACGTGTACAAATCGTAAACTTTTGTTAGTCACAGAGCTTATTTTCTGCCATAATCCAAAAGCCAGTGGAAAATCCTATTGGATTTTTGTCAAGGAAAACAGGGTGATGCAAACATCTGGGCTGGCCTACAAAAAAACATTATCACAGCTGCACTGCATTATGTCAAGCAGCATTTTGTACCAAATAGATTTTAGGGCTACACAACAGCAATACGAATGAAATGACTGAAAAAAAAAATTTTCAAAACACTAATGCACAGACACTTGAACTTGGATATCCACACACCTCACCAACACAGCCCTCCTTCTGTAGGTACTTGCGTGTGGCTGCCCACACTTGACTCTTCGGTAGCAAGCTGCCCCCTGTGACTTCTTCAAAGTTTTCATAGGTCTCATACTTCCTCAACACACACTCCATAATCCCAACTGCCTAGAAAAAGGCATGAGGTGAGACAAATGGCAATAGTTTCAGGACTTAACACGATGGCTGTGTTCCAAACAGGCGTATTCTAGTGAATTAAAAAAAATAAATACAAAAAAAAGTATAAAAACATATATTTGTTACTTGAAATAAATACATTAACTGGAATAAAATATTTTGAAAAAGCAAACTTATTTTATTTCAGCTGGTTGCTAAGCATTCATTTCATTTAGTTTAACTTGAAGTACTAAAATAACAAATACTGAAATAAAAAACTAATAAAAACTATATAAACATTTTAAAAAACTAATAAAAATGACAAAACCACACATCGAAATTACTAAAACTTTAAAATGAAAATGAAAGTGGAAAATGTAAAAATAAAAACTAATTCAATCTATTAATAAAACTATAATAGTGTCTCAATGATTCTAAAATAACACTGATTCTCAAACCTAGCAAGCTGTCAGCGTAAGCAACATTTTAAGCCACCATAACTTTGCTCCCAACGTAAAGCAAATAGACAGCATATTTATGCATACTTCTAAGCTACCCTGTTTTATTCAAAACCTAAGGAAGTACTGTATGTTTCTTTTGCATGGAAGGCAATCCCAGAATGACAAGCTGACTAAAATGGATATTGAAATGTTGATACCGATTTCATTTCAAACTGAAAATATCAAACTGATTAAAAAGTCAGTATTTTACTTGTATGATTTCAAACTTATTAGAATACTGAATCATTAGCTTAGCAACATGCCAACATTAAACTCTACAGAAATCAACTGTAAATTGAGTCTCTCATGCGCTATTTAAATGGCACACAGAGTTGCTCCCTACATAGAGTGTTCCAAATCAGTAACTTTTGAGGTTTCTATTTCCATTAAGGCGCAGTCACATTATTGAAACTTCTGCAAAAATTAGTGGGCAAAAAAGCTCTATTGTCTATTGTCAATAGTGTAGAGATGTATGAAGCACTGCTCACACAGAAGTCACTTTCAAACCAAGCTGCTTTCTGTTGGTCAACGTGGCGAATCTGCAATACAAAATCCCTCACATAAAATCCCCACTCACGTTTCCTAATTGAAATGACAGGATTTTTAGTGAAAATTCACAGAACAGCGTAAATGTCACTGCACATTTAGAAGGCGGTTGCTTACGGAGACTGTTAACAGTAAGGCGGTTCACTGGACTTTGGAACACACCGAATTTGTGTATTTTCAACATAAAACCTACCTGGGACAGAAAGAGACTGGAGCCCTCTCTGTACTTCTCCAAAACACTGATGGGCTCTAGGGAGGCATACTCAAACTGGGGCTCATACTGATAGTTAGACTGAAAAAAGGTCTGACGCTCCTGTTCCAGGTTTATGGGACGAAGAGCCACAAGCAGACATGGCCCACGAGGTGTTGAAGGCGAAGGAAGTGATGCCATACCCCTGGCAATATATGGCAAGGAGGTTGCAGGCCTCATTTGACCCCTGCCAGCACGTTGGGCTGTCGTGGAGTTCATTGTGCATGTGCTCTCACTCCGGCGAAGCCAGTTTCCTGGCCCCAAACTAAGGCTTGTCAGGCTTCGCATGGGTGGAGAAGGGCCACCACTACGCCACGGTGGCTGTATCACCTTCTGCACTGGCTGCGTTGCTCTAATTCGCTGTGGTTTTATTTCCAGACTAAGTGGCCTTCGATAAGGTGGGGGTTTGGAAGGTTCCCTTGGCTGCGCAGCTTCATCTTTATTTCTACCTTCCGTCTTCTGGAGCCTTCGCTGAACTTGGGAGCAGCCATCCCAAGTGGTACAAGGCTGCGCATGAGGCCCATTGCGGGTCGATTTGTCTCTTTGGGTGATACTGCTGGTCCTGGCTCTGATAGGTTTGGGTTTCTCTGTGCTGGGCTCTGGTTCTAACATTTCTGAGACATTCTTTGCGAGCCCTCCTCCATTAGCCTGCTCCATGCAGTTTTCACTCAGATCCAGCACCATTGCTACATCCACACCACTGTCCACGAATGCTGCACACCTGAAGAGAAAAACATTCCTCCATTTCCTGATTCAACGATACAGAATACACAACAGTATGCGTAAAATGATTTTAAATATAAGGATTCAAAACTCTTTACGCAAACAAATAATTTAGAATTGACTCAAAACACTTTTGAAAAGCTGGCACATCTTGCTATACTCCAAATGAATGAATGAATGAAAATGAATTTAAATCATATAGAATTTGGTTGATTCTTATAATTATTATGTATGCAGATTTATAACCTCCTATTAATTTAGAGACTACATGTGAATATTTGTACTTTTAGAAATGCATCTGTCATGCAGCAGGGGCTTTTAAAATACATAGTAAATAGTATAGTAAATGCAAAATGTTCAATAAAAATGTGTACAAAAAGTAGTGATCGGTTTAAAACCTTGTGAAAACATCCTGAAGGAATCCTCAAAGAATCCTACTGCGTGAACTGCACTTAATATAGTAGGATTCTTAGAGGAGTCTTTCATTCCTAATATAAAAAGTCAGATTGGATACTGTACCATCTTTATCATATCTACTATTGGGATAAGGTCTTGTTATTGGACAATAAAAGTAAATTATACATATAACTTTATGCATTTAAAAATTATGAAATTATGATATACATTTAAAAAAAAAAACTACATTTTTTACATTTATAGTCATAAAAGGGCATTTATTCCGTTAGCAATTATAATAGATCTACTGGGAAATATGTGTTTTAAAAGGTCTCGTTTTAAGCACATTGGAAAGAATAACAATAAAATCCACCTCGGTATGGAAATTCCAATATGATTCCTATTTCTGGTTAATTTTAAAAAGAATAAAGTGAGGCTATTGCTTAAAGAAAATTATGTCAGTGCATAATAGGTGCATGACATCAACAGCTCTTGACAATACACTGCCGATTCACCACGAATGAGACATCTTTAACTAATAAAGCAATAAAAGACGCAACACATACCACGCAGCGCTTCTTATCAAATAAATGAACTTCAGTTCATGTTGGAATTCCGTCCATAATATCAGCAGCAGTTCTTCAACTTCTGTTCAGTAGGTCAGACGGCTGATATGGAGGAATAACGGTACATGACGCCGGGAATACTGGGAGTTCGGGATGGCTGGGATTGCGTTGCAGCAAATGACGCGCTGGCGCATCTGAATGACCTGTCCACGTCGCGACGCGTTGCTGTCAGTGTGCGACTGTGCGTAAGGACGTAAGGGAGTCTAATTCCTGTAAATGTTTCTCAGAATAGCTAGTTTTATTTTTTACAGGCAGTTTCTCTGTAGATACATAAACTTAAAGCTGTTGAACATTCCCACAATTATTGCCTAAGAAGAAAGATACTGCTAAAACACAAATGTTGTCACTGATTTTAAAATAGGCTACCCTTTATGATTTGCGAAATAGGCTACTATCTAAAGTTATTTCCAGAGGCGGACAAAGTACTCAACTCCATTACTTGAGTGAAAGTACAGATACTGCTGGTCAAATATTACTCCATTACAAGTAAAAGTTGTAAAGACAGATTTTTACTTAAGTCAAAGTACAGAAGTACTTGCTTTTAAAAGTACTTAAGTACCAAAAGTACATTTCCTTTTTTATGTCAATGCACTGTTTTATTGTTGTATGTAATACTTGCAATACTTCTGAAGCAACTTAGAATACATTACACCTGCTGAATACACTGTCTAGCTTTTAGTATCTTTGAAATAAAGAGCTTTTAGAATGTTAAAAACCTACGGGGGAAAATAATAATAATAATAATTATTATTTAACACCCTACCCACCCCCACAAAAGCAGGATGGTAGTGATCTCACACAGCTCTGACAGTGTGTGTGCACACATCTATGTGTACATTCATCCACATTTGAACAGAGTGGACAATGAAATCCTGTAAATACAGAGTGATGAGGAAGAAAAAAAATCAAACCTGCTTTAAAACCCAGCAACACAACTGTAGCTGTATCACTTTACAACAGCAACACTGCTTTAACAAAAAATCAAAACAGCAAGGCTTATTTGACATCAAAACAAAAAATTTAAAAATGCTGTCTAATGGCTCTCGTGGTACTTTGATGTCACACACAGAACAGTCTGTGCAGTGCTGCTTCAAGTCCAACACCTATTGTGTTTTAATAAGACGATGCACAACAAGTCTTCTGTGGCTTTATAGGTAATATTTTCACTTTTTAATTAGGAGATGCACAACAGTTCAAAAATACAATTTAGCAAAAATAGACAATGTTGTGTCTAATATATTCCACAATATTAGCTTAAAAAAAGAAAGTCACGTTTTAGAGAAGAAAAAAATCACCCACTGACTTTCAAAGCTGCTACATAATAACGACTTTCTACTACGAGGACCTTGATAGAAATGTAGTGGAGTGAAAAGTACAATATTTGTCTTTCAAATGTACTGAAGTTAAAGTCATAAGTTCCCAGAAAAAAGAATACTCAAGTAAAGTACAGATACTCAAAAAGTGTACTTAAGTACAATACTCAAGTAAATGTACTTAGTTACTGTCCTCCTCTGGTTATTTCATACAATAATAAAACACAAAGAATTCAAGAAACGTCTTTAACTGAATTGTTTGAAATTACAGCATATGTGACCATCTCTATTTTAGGAACAGTTCAATCTTTCAGTTAAGATGTACCTTCATTTTAGTATTTGAGTCTAGCTTGAATCTATAGCATCTCAGTGTGTTTCCGTAGTGTTCTCTTATTTACCCAACAGCTATTTAAATTATTTAAAAAGAAGACATTTATTTATACAAAGAATAAATAATAATTTTTAAAAAAGTCATTGAGATTGAGATGAACAAAGGAAAACATCCAAAACAAAGATATAGTTTCATATATTTATTTTTTGTATTTTCATTATAATCAAAATCTGAAAATGCATCTTGAACATGAGTAAAACAACATATGACATCAGTAAAAATGTGAGATTTATTAAGAGTTTAAATAGGCACATTCATTTGTTTAATATTTATAGCTGGTAGGTGGTTGCATGTCATAAATTACATGCTGATGTAATAATTAGATTTATCTTATCTTAATCATATTTTACCTAAAACTCCTTCATTCTGCTAAAAAATCCTTGAATGATTATCTCATGTGACTGGATCCTTTAGCTTTGGTCTGGTTGTCTGGAGGGAGCGGTTTGCCTAAATGTTGTGCTGTGGTAATGCCATGGGACTCAGAAGCATACTTCTCTTTCACCTCTGGTCGAAGACTAAATCATCCTTGGAAAGTAAGGTCAAAGTGTTTGGTCGGAGCAAATGACAGAGGCTTTTCGGCAAATACACTATTCAGTCTTTCCTGCCATGCGTCTAACATGGCATTTCTCACATCTGGAGGTGAGTGCTGGACACCAGAAGATCTGGAGGCAAGGACCTGAAACCCGCAAAAACGCAGCACTCCATTCTGTATGTAATAAAAACACAATTTGTTTGTAATCGACATTTCAACTGGTATAAATGTTATTAATAACAGTTAAAAATTGTATTTCTCAAAGATGCCATATCATATACATTTGCTACATCATTGTAAAGTACATTAGGTGCATCCCAGTTTGCATACTTATGCACTATATTATTGCATTTTGTAGTAGAAAAAGTGCAAGTAGTGTGTTTACATTGAAAATTCCAAAAAAGAAAAAGTGGAGTTTAAATACCCGGATGATGCACTTAATTAACTGAGAAAACAAAGTGTGTTGGCCTAATGTTGGATGCTTCATACACTCAACTATCAGAGCTTTAGTTACATAGTGGAAGGGGAGGGGCTATCAGACTCCGATGATGATTGACAGAATAACCTTATAAAATTAATTCACTACACAGTTAAGTACATAAGTGCATATAGTGTACATTATAGTGCGTCATTTTTGACTGATTCACACAATTCATGCTACGTTGCTGTTCATACTGTTAAAATCGGACTGAAATTTTAGAGACATTTTTAAAAACAAACTTCGGCTGCTCGTTTCTAATATATTTAGATCACACAATTCTCACTTTTTTCTTGCAATACTGAGAATTACGAAAAAAAGTCACAAATCCCTTCTTTTATTTTTTATTCCATAGCAGACAAAAAAACTGAATTCACAGAAAATAAGTCAGACTTGCAAGATATCAATTCAGAATTCTGAGATGCAAACTCAGAATTGCGCAATTTTGAGTTTCTCACAATTCTTGCCTAGGCAAATTACAGCTTCAGAGAATTGAGACGACAGAAATGATGAGGAACAGGCTCACTGGAGCTCATTCACTAACCGTACATATGCACAAATTTGTATTTAAAACCTGTGTACTTTCATGAACAAATCATAATTCATCTGTAACTTTTGTACTAAAATGTACAAAAGTAAAATCTAAAATATGTGACAACCCACATGCCGTATGGATATGGAATTCAACTCTGATCCCTTAAATACATGATGACTTGTGCACAAAGAGCTGTTCTTGCAGCTTAATTTGAATAACTAGTCTGTTTAGGAAGGAATTTTTAAGTTCTGAAACTAGCACACTGAAAATTCACCTTTAATATTTTTACCTCACCTGTAAAGGCCAGAGGGCTACGTTGAAGTCTCCATGGATGCCATCGGGCTGAAACATGGACTCCGTTCCCCCATTGGTGAATGAAAGTATGGCCTTCTTATCCTGGTGTGAATAGTGGATGACATTTTAAATAAATCTGATCACCATTAGAATTACAAAAACAGAATCTTTCCTTGGAATCAGCAATGTAATGAACACAAAACAAGCTTTGGCTCTAAAGATTCAGACCTTAAAAATGCCGTTGTCGTCATACATCTTCTGCAGGGTGAAGGCAAATCCTTGAGTTAAGACTCAGTCTATCCAGCCCTTCATGATGGCAGCAGGTATACTAAACCAGTAGAGAGGGAACTGTAAATATAATCCAAATCATATTATTTTTCTGAGATCAAAGTGAAATGTATACTCTGACACGTGTAACTGGGCAGCACTGGGAAACTATTACCTGAAAGATAACCAGCTCTGCCTGCTCCACCTTGTGCTGTTCTTCTGCAATGTCATCTCATCGTTGCAAATAAAGTGCTCAGGATTCTTCAGATAACCTGCAATAATTACAGTAAAACAGTGGTCCTGTGTAATTGCAACAGTAGTGCATCTTTTTAAGCACCTATACTATAGTAGCATTTTAATATATGTGCACTTTGTATTTTCCTTACTTTTATACATGCAGTACAAGTGTACAATTGCAAGATGTTTAAGGAATAAATTTTTTTTCAGCAAATCCGTACCCATAAATAATATCCTCTGCAGTAGCTGAGGCTTTAAAGTTCATAGCATAGAGGCCTCACACTAGACATAATAGCCTTGCTTTGTCAGAGCCTGAATCGCTACGTCACATGCAGTAACGTTGAATGAGGCGGGACTCTGATGGGCATAAACAATCAGTGCTGTCTTCTGTGCTGTTTACATACATACACAAGTGGAAAGAGAAAAAGTTCATTGGTATTTGAGATAATTTACCCACAGGATGGGTTGTGGCACTTTACCCAATAGTTTTCCTGTAAATGTAACAACAATAACCGGTATAATGTAGGCTTTTAACAAAATTATAGCTAATGAAATTCCCCCTAATAGGGACAAAAGGTTTGGATAATAGAATGGATGACTTCTGAAAAGTTTTATTTGAATATACAATTCAGACAATATACAAGAACAGTAATGGTATACACAATGATCTGAAGGATATGTGTATTCAATCAAAGAAAGGTTTTCCTATGAATTAATTAGAGAACAGTCCATTTCTCTGGGCATTATGTGTCTTTCTTATGAGGAAAATGAGGGAGTTTATCCCCCGCATTCCTTTAGGCCATAAAACCAGTGATATCATGATTAGTTGTCATGGTGACCAAGGTGGGGGATGGTGTTCAGCAGAAATCCTGGCATCCAGTATATTGAGTGAGGGGACTGTGACGATTTGTTAATCTAATGAATAATTGATTTGTTAAATCAAATAAAAATTAGTAGACGCTACATAACTTTGAAGGCATTTTTTTAAATATTAAAAAATGTCAGAACAAAATAAAGTTCGAACTGAAGAATTAAAAAAAGAAAGAAAAGAAAAAGTAAAAACTGACTGCAGTTGACCTTACAGAACTAGGCTAATAGTACTCAACATT